AATTCTAAAATAAAATCAGCAAAGTACGCAAAAAACAAAATCTAGTTTAGTTTTTAAGAATACTCAAAGTCTTTACGCATAAAAATATCACTAAATATATATATTTCCAAACATTAAACCCATATAGGGTGCATTTCATTTTATGTGCATGAGCGATATTGTCTCATTTTATTTGGATTAAATATCGGCAGGTAATGACTAAACATGATTACATAAATAAAGCATATAAAGTAACCTTTTCCCTTTATTACCAGTGAAAACATATTGCTCAATTATTCATACGAATGAAATTACTTTTTGATATACCATCATCACGGTAAATTGATAGAGAAAGAGTTCCAGCCTTATCACAACCACAGAAGTTGAATATCAGGTGCAATATTACGGTCTGATTGACTGGTTGTAAGTTGTTTTTTGTAACGTTCGAGAATTTTGTGAAACTTTGTATGTCTCTCTGTTTGTTTTATCGAAATTTTCACTTCAGGCATGAAAGAATGAAGATTAAAATGGTTTGTATTTTGAGAAGATGTTTCCTCATTTTAAGAGAGTAATTTTATGCAGATATACTGTAATGAGTTACATTTGTTACACAATTATTTACCAGTTTTTTAGAATTTTATAATTTTAGCCATGCAATCGCTTTTCTACTTATGAAAATGTAAATTTTGATATCTACATTTTTAGCTATGTAAGACTATAAGTTCTGATTAGAATTTTACTTTTACTTACCACACAAAAGTGCACTTGATTTATTTTTCTTTTAGATCTTTACTTTCCACGAGTTTAGCCCTCTAAGATGTTTGACGTCTTGAAGGAAGACTTTGACTATTTCTTTATATCCGCTGTGTTACTAGGAATGTTTGTGGTTACCATAGTGACCCAGAAACTATCTGCAAGAAGAGCGCTCAGTCGAGCTTGGAAATAAACAATGTGATGAATTGATATCTTTATAAGATAAAGCTGGGTTATTCTTATGACAGCGTTGATAAATAGGAACGTATGCTGCATTCATCTTCTTGAAAAAAAACACAAATCTTTGGAATTTGGATGTATGAAACAAAGGAAAGAAGCATGCTTGAAAGTTTTGTCTCATTTAAATATACATGTACATGTGCAATTGTTGTCATGTAAGAAAAAGCCTTCTAAAAATTGTTAGCTTTTTTTAAACAAAGATTTTGTTATCATTCCATATCCATGCAGAGAAGTAATGCCAATTTTCCTACATTTGTAAAACGAGGTATGTTGTATTGAGTATTTGAGAGAATGTGTAAGATTTAAAAGTGGATGCAAGTTGCCTGAATGATAGATGTATGTGACATGTATGTGTATGTAATCAGATTTAAATCCTTTCTTTACTTTAAAAAAAGATCTCAAATGCTTTAGGAATGTTGTAGAATACCCTAATATAGATCTTTTTTTTGACTGAATTGATGCAAAATTTTGAATTTGAATTTGATATCTGTGTAATAATTTTTTTAAATGAGCAATATGTATAATATCATAGGAATATTATATGGTATGTGGGAACCAGAATTTTATTTACTCAACAGATGAAAATTTTAGGAAAACAGTTGGTTACGGGGCCATTTTTGTCAATCATAACCTGAAACTGACACCTGAGAAATCAGAAAAACATAATTATAAATTTCAGTGTCAAGCAGTCTTTATTATTAATTTTTTTTTTCATTTTAGAGCAACATAAAGCATCATTTTTGCTCTTTCATCTTTAATGCAATATTTGTACAATAAGTTATTTAAAAAAAATTAAAATCAAAATGAATGAATTGGATATATTCTGTGAAACATTTTTTCTCAGTCGACAATTATCTTTTCAAGTAAAATATACTCTTTCTAAGGTTCAAGTACATTTTAGTATTGTTTTAAATACTGTAAATTCCTTATTTTTCGCGAGTAGTTTTTATCGCGAAATGGCACTTTAACGTCAAATCGCGAGAATAATTATTCGGGAATGAACGGTTAATCAAGAGAATTTGCATGGATTTTAGCAGCATAAAAATGAAAGCGAGTAACTATATTTTGCGAGTGATGCTTATCGCGAAATTACGCGATAATTAATTCCACGCGTATAATTACGAATCTACAGTATAATATGTAGGTGTACATGTTTAAAGTTACATGTATACGTGGCATACCTGAGCAAAAAAAAAAAGAATACAAGTTTAGTCTAGATATATATAAATGTATATGAACTTTGTTATTTATGTTCAAAGAGTCAGTAAATAATTCAGTCATTGCATATCTAAGAAATGCAATTGAATTAAAATGTGTAGTTTACAGGAAAGTCCTTTATTTTTATCAAATAATAAAACAAGATGAAAATTCTTTTGAATATTTGTTATTTTAACTTAAAAAAACGCCTTTATGATTTATGACTCTAAGGTTTCATCAACGGTCATCATGTCGAATAATTTATTTTTATAAAAGCTTCAGCACTATGTGGTTTATAAAGTTAAAACTTTTACAGTTTATAAATATATTATTGATTAACAAATAGAAAGATCACTTAAAACAAATATTAAAAAATAATATTTTCTTGTGAAAAAATATATTTAAAAATTTGCATATTTTTAAAGAAATGCACCTGCTTGATTCTTAACTTTTAGTAAAAACCATCACTGCAGAAATAAAACATGTTTATCAATGGAGGGCAAGTTGGACATGAATGTTCTCTGAAAGGCAGTTATTGGAAGCTTAACATGTAAAAAGACAAGACATCCTATAGAATCCGCCATCTAAACAGGGAAACAACCTTCCAGAGGCTATCGAAATCCAACTTGCCCTTAATTAATAAGCATATTAATTATATTGTTTCCGTAATGATGTCTTTCACTAAAAGTAGGGAATTAATTGGGTGCCTTAAAAAATACATGAATTTGTAAAAGAATTTTTCTCAATAAATAATTTTTTTAAGTATTTATTATCAAGAGATACAAGGATATTGTATCAGATAATAATGAATGGTATATTTATAAACTTTAAAAGTTTTTAACTTTATTAACCACATAGTTTTAGAGCTATTATAAAAATAAATTTTTGGACTATTTGCCCTTAAAACTATGACTATTACAACCCGACTGTCCTTGGAGAGAGGTTTATTCAATGTGGATAAAGTATGGGCGCCTTCTTCTTATCATATCTGATATGTTTTAAGTCTAAAGTAATGGGATATATGGAGAGATAGTTTATGGATATAAGAATTATATTATTGTTAAGATATTCAACTATTTATCTAACTGTAAATTGAAAATCTTTCATAACTTATTGTTTAACGAAGGACACACCTTTTCTCCAACTTGCTTTCACTGGGCTACATATTAAACATCATTTTACCCATATCCCTTCTTTCACTTAAACAGTCAATCCAATCTGGGACAGAACTTCTTTTATATTTCATCTGTGTCCATGAAGCCTGTACAATTACTAGTATTATATGCTACTGCAGAGAAATTACGAAAATATACGTTAAACTTTACAGCTCCTTTTATTTATCAGCAGATCTGTTTTATTCCAATGAAACAGAATCTATCTTTAACTTCTATACGAGAACAATAAAATTCATACTGTAATTTTGCTTTGGTGCTGTCTGTCGGTACGTCGGTCTGTCGGTCCACTTAGTTTCCGTTCATTTTCTTCGCCACTGTTGCACATACTGAAATGAAATTTGGTATACAGGTATATCACAGGAATATCTAGCCTATCTAGGTCAAGTTCTGTTTTGGGTACGATCACACCATTTTTGACACAGTTATGCTCCTTGGACTTTAAAAAATTCCAATCATTTGCAGTTTCCGTTCATTTTTGTGCAACCGTTGCACATACTGAAATAAAATTTGGTTTACAGATATATCGCCATTCACATGAAAATCTTGGCCAAGTTCTCTTTTGGGTGCGATTGCACCATTATTTACAGAGTTATGCCCCTTAGACTTAGAAAAATTCCAATTATTTGCAGTTTCCGTTCATTTTCTTCGCAACCGTTGCACATGCTGAAATGAAATTAAGCATACAGATTAATCATATAGATATCTAGGTCAAGTTCTGTTATGGGTACGATCGCACCATTTTGGTAAGATTTATGCCCCTTGGACTTAGCAAAACTTTCCAGTTTTTTGCAGTTTCCTTTCATTTTCTTTTCAGAGGTTGCACATTCTGAAATTAAATTTGGTACACAGATTTATCAGATATATATCTTGGTCAAGTTCTGTTTTGTACGAAAGACGAATAGGGCCACATAAAAAAATATTTTTATCTCGTAATTACGAGATAATTATCTCGTTATTACGAGAAAAGATCTCGTTATTACGAGATAATTATCTCGTTATTACGAGAAAAGATCTCGTAATTACGAGATAATTATCTCGTTATAACGAGAAAAGATCTCGTAATTACGAGTTAATTATCTCGTAATAACGAGAAAAGATCTCGTAATTACGAGTTAATTATCTCGTTATAACGAGAAAAGATCTCGTAATTATTAAGAGAGAGTAGAACATAAACGCACCATTTTTTTTAGATCTTTTCTCGTAAAAACGAGATCTTTTCTCGTAATTACGAGATAATTAACTCGTAATATCGAGATCTTTTCTCGTTATTACGAGATCTTTTCTCTTAATTACGAGATAATCAACTCGTAATAACGAGATCTTTTCTCGTAATTACGAGATAAAAAAAAAATTTATGTGGCCCTATTCGTCTTTCGTAGTTTTGGGTACGATCGCACCATTTTTGACAAAATTATGCACTTTTGGACTTGGAAAAATTCCAATTTCGGTGAAGGGGGCATAACTGTTTTACAAACATCGCTTGTTTTTTCTATATTTTACTGACAATAGATTGTTAGAAAAAAAAAAATACAAATGTTCAATATTGGTGAAAATAGTTAATTTTCTCTATTCATTGAAAAAAAAAAGAAAAAAAAAAAAAAACTAAACTTATACAAATATTTACAAAAAAATCAAACAGACAATTTAATTCCTGGTTTTAAAAATTGATCCTTAAGGGGATGAAACACAATATTCAAAATTGATATAAAGATATAAAACATTCCACTGTACAACTAAAGTGCCAGTCGTTTGGGAGAAAACTATACAAACATGATGTAGTGAGTATCTAGAAGTCCATATTTTACAACAAACTGTTTGACTGCGAATTAAAATCCTTTTTTTCAGGTTCCATATTACTAAGTAATAATAATGCCTGCACAATCTGCAGAGATTTTATCGACAGATCTCTTGTATTCTCATTTCTGTAGCTGATTGGAATCTGTTGTATTGTTTTTGTTGGAGAGCTTGTTTGAATGAATATAAAGCATCCTGAAGGTTCCCTGTCACCTGTTGACAGATTCCTAACATCTGCCATGTTATGTCTCTGTAAAATAAAGGTATATGTTGTCCCTGATTACTACCGTGAACTAGAGACTTGAAGACATCTAGAGATATTTTTGCTTTTCTTTGGTCTACATGTCTGTAACATAAGACCTCGAGCATGAGTGATAATATGAAGTTCGATATAGTTAAGTAGTGCCAGTTCTTTTGTAGGCAAGACTGTTGTTCTGGAATAAATTCACTTATACAATGGAATCTAGTGTGAAGATTGATATCCCAAGCTACAGCTTCTCTCATCTTTGTAGAAATAGACTGACCCCCTAAAGCCGTAGTATACATCTCTGCTGCTTTTGTGCTGTACATGAACTTCACATATGGTTGTGCTAACTTGCCCCGTATTACTACTAAAATGGATAAAGCGTCCCTATATCTAAATGTCTTGTAATAATACATGGCTCTGAACAGTTTGTCAGAAATACAACCAAACTTGTCTGATAGCTTAAGCATGTGACGGGACATTTTATCAGCTTTGTACATCATTTTGTTTTTTGGAGCACAAGTCTTTGTGTTAGTTACAAAAGCAAGTACCTGAAAGACAGAGGCTGCAAGTCTTTGTAACATGGTAATCTGATACTGTGTTATGAGAGGTAAACTTATAAGATGTTCTATTGACTTAAGATATTGTATACAGCTGTTTGGTTTTGGTATGGATTACAGATTAAGGTCATGCAGTTCCAGAAATAGATCTGCATCAAAGTCTTTCTCAGAAATCAGAGTATGATCATCTGTACAGATGGAGAGGCGGGGGTTGTAAAGGACATTTATAATACAAGATCTAATGGAGGGACTGTGTAGCAGGAATGCTAAACCTTTCTTATACAACCCATGCAGTCTTATAAATAGCTGATGTTGTGCTTCACCATGGACTTTACTCAGAAACATGTTATTTTGGGGAATGAAAAAGTTTGGACAGACCCCATCATTCACCCACTTAAATATGAGTTTAAAACAGACCCAGAAACACTCCAGGAGATTTTGTGGACACCAGTGAGGCATTGTGTTCTGTTGAATCACCCAGAAAACTGCTGTCTTCATGTGATAGGAACACAATAATTTAGCATCACTATCTAGTCCATAGTTAATTATTTCTGTTAAGAACAATTTAAGCAAGCAGTACGTTACAAATTGACAGCGGTTCATTCCATACACAAGTTTTTGTTCTGCTTGAGAGAAAGAAATTCTCCATTCATTGTTTTCATGATGTCCTAGCTTATGTCCAATTGCTACAAAGTGACATCCATTTTTCACTATATCATCAACAATATGCGGCTGGGGCCATGAATGACATCTGTCTATCCATGAGGAAGCAGATGGAGGCCAAAAGTCACTAATAAAACAGTGGGCATAATCGTATTCTGTGGCTATAAAATTTCCACTAGCACATGGACCATGTGGAGAAGGGTTAAATGGTGTCATCAATGCAGAACACATCCCCTTGTAGTATTTAGAACTGAATAAATAATGCCTGCTTGTCATTGTACCTGGTCCACAAGTTCTCTGGAGTTCTGTGTTTCTGCCTGGTGGCAATAAATATACTGAAAGGAAAAAGAAACGCAGGGTAGCATAATTTTCGATAAAAATTTGACCACATGACCGAAAATTACGGAAATTGGTCAGAAGGGCAATTTAGTTACTGTGCATCAAAATCAGTATTCAGAATTACTCAACCGTAAAATTTATGACGTCACGTAGGGAAAACGCTTAAAAGCCCAAAACACGTGCAGTTTGATAACGACGAGTTTGTCAACAAATCTTGTTGCATTATTTGATGCATATGAGGTATGCACATCGTTTTTCAGCATTAAGAGACATTGTGAATTGATTGCAATCTTGGCACAGTTTACAGAAGTTAAATGGGGTCTTGTTTTCGAATTGCCTAATTAATGAAAAATGCAACAATGGTTAACTAGGCAGTCTCTTGTAAATTTTCCCCATAAAACTTGTAACCCGTTGTCAGAGAGGGTCTGGAGTGGTTTTCAGACAACTGTGACGATGACGTTTCCGCGAAACAGAGCCATGTTACGAGCGGGATATTCGTCCTGCCATCTCTTAAATCGCCACCTTACTACGACAAAAAACAGCCATTTATAGAGTAGATGATTATAATCATTAAATTCATACGAAATTTGAAAGAAAACAATTCCACAATTTGGTTTTTTGAGCCAGTCAACTTACAGTTGTATTCCCCTCACTGGCGCATGCGTGCGCCATTGGACTTAGTTTTTTGCGTGGTTACCAATGCTAAATATAGCCAGGGTTTGAAAGATAAAATTCATGCAAAGGAGAAATAAGACTCTGACAAATGCGCGAGATAGACATTGAAGATAATGGGAGTTTTCGATTTTCACTTTTAGGGGGTATCGTCATTTGAGCTTCAATAATTCTTGAACAATCAGACAAAATCATATGAGAATTTGGTTATATCTTTTTGAAAGATGATTTTAAAAGGTAGATAGGAAAACTAAAAAGTATTTTGAGAAAAACAAATTTAATTCACCTCAAAAGTTTACCCTGCGTTTCTTTTTCCTTTCAGTATATATAACAGAGTGAATCCAGGCGGACTTTCAGAACAGTCACAGAGAATCATACCTTTTCTGTTTGTGTTGTAATACCGAGACTGAGATATTTCCCAGATGACACGAAAATGATATTGCCATATCATAATGTCTGCATCTGATGTCTTCAGTCTAAATCCTTCTGCTCGACTTCCACTGATCATCTGACCTATTTTTAATTTTTTGTTCTCCTCAATCTTCACCAAGCCTTGTATGTCCACCACATCCCTCCTTATTACCGGCCGCCAGGAGACGGTCGGTTACATGATATGAAAGTTTTAAGTTGTCGTGCGTTTATGCGGAGTTAAAACAATTTTAATAAATAAAAATTTTTAATATTGAAATAATGGTATATATTCAAACAGAGTGTTTAAATGTATAACAAAATTGTTAATATGCACAATAATCATAAAATTAAAATTTTGTAAGATGGGGGTAAATTCTTCATCCAAGAAAATTTAAAATCATCACATTTATTACAGAGCTTGGTTCTTAGATTATCATTTATATTTTTTCAAGTAAAATGTTCAAATATGAGACAGACGTGTCACACTCTGTAGTATCTTTTATTTCAAGCTCACTAGGATGTATCGATATCGACATAAGAATGGAAATTACCATTGTTAATTGACAGTTTGGTGATAATTGTTAATTATTTTAATATATTAGCCAGTTATAAGGGGGTATATAATAACAAAATGTCGTACCGGTATATATATATATATATATATATATCTATATGTCGGCTTGAAGGCCACAGCAAGTGTTCTTTTCTTTTCACGTACGTACAAAAGTTTGGAAAATTCTGCCTTAAAGAAATACAAAAAGTAGGTCTGCTTATATAGATTGCAAGAGATTGTTGGAAGACCTGGTCTCCAAAAACGACATAGATATTGTCAATCAGAAACTCAAGCATCTTTTTAATGATAACTTCAGAGTATTTGTGTATATCAGAATGTTTTTTTAACCAAATAATAATGAGAATGACATAATTGATCCGCTGTAATGGCCCCACCCTGTACACTTAAAATTTATGATTTTTTTAGACAATAGTACTTTAATAATATGACTAACTACGGTTTTGCAGTTCTCAGGGCGGAGGCTTTTAACAGGTTTTTCTACTTCTTCCTCTATGTCAGTGGTCATAATTAATTCAAACTAGCATCTACAGTACTTAAATGTGAATCTGTATGCCTAAACATTGTTTTACTGGTCCAGAAAAGATTTTAATGATATTTTCTAAATATACCTGTGTATGAAATTGATCTCCTATTGCGGCCTTTTAATCTACTTATATGTTGGGGTCATGATTTGAAAAAAAAAACTTGAATCTACATTATGTAATAAAGCTTCATATATTGTTTTCTTGCCCAGTAGTTCTTAAAAAGATGCCATCAAATTTATTCTTATTTTTACTTATTTTCCCTTGAAAAGAAAGTGTTCATGCTCAAAAATCTAAACCACCTTCATTCAAATATACTTTGTGGCACGTTTGGTTGAAGTTGGCCTATTGCATTTTTGGAGAAGTTGAAAATGTTAAAACAGCTTAGCTTATATACTGCTTTCATTAAAAGGAAACAAATGATATGAAAAAATTACCAGTTTCTGTCTTTGACAATACAGAAAAGAACCAAGAATTAGATAGATTACATGATCATTATGTACTGTCAGGGAAGCTCACAACATTGTCTTTGTTTGTAAGGCTCATCAGTGCATTATGAGGGACATTATGAAAACCATCTATCCTTCTGTGTTCCATATTTCAGAAGTTAAAAAAATTAATAGATTAAACGATTAGTAAAATATGCAAATATGATGTGTCAGACTCTGTGGTATCTTTTATCTCTAGCTCACTAGGTAATATATTGTATGAGCATAAATATATATTATTATAACAGTAACTTGATCCGAAGGGTCGTATCACGTCGAGTTGACAGGCGCTGATCATCAGATCTAACGAGACGCGAAGCGTCGAGTTTGATCTGATGATCCGCGCCAGTCAACGAGACGTGATACGGCTCTTCGGATCAAGTTACTGTTATAATGATAAATTTATTATATACCCCCTTATAACTGGCTAAATATATTAAAATAAACCGTTAGAGATCAATTGTATAATATTAATCGATTAAACAAAGCTTAAAAAAAGGGACTTTTTAACGCGCAAGAAAAACAACGTCATATTTCTGCGTACTACGTCATCAGTTTCAGAGAGTGGTGATATGGATTCAGAAAACAACAATTTGGTGATCCGGAAAATCGGATCACGACGTCACGTGATAGCGTAAATTCAACAGTAAAATTGAGTGATACACTTTAGGTATATAGATCTAATAAGAATGAAAATTACCATAAATAATTGACAATGTGACGTCATTATATCTTTTTATAGCATAATTTCTTCCATTCAAATGTCGACTCGATATATCCAATAGAGCTTGAAATAAAAATATCCACATAATCTGACACATCTCTTTCATTTTTGAATAATAGAAAAGGACAATATGGTAACCTAACGGACAAAGCTTTATGAAATACCTGATGACTTCAATTTTTCGATTGTCAACTTCCCTTACCTATGTTGTAATATTCCCTTATCATATGCATATGGGGTTAAGAACAATTTCTTAAACAAAAGCAAGCTTCTGACAGACAATTTAATGAAACAAGAATATCAAAAGTCGCGACTGTAGTCAATCTGATTAAAATCAAATCTTTGCTACGCTCTGAAATTTTGATGGTCGTTGTGCTGCAGCGACCATCAGATTTTCGGAGCGTAACAAACACCGATTTTTTCTCATGCAGATTGGACTTTAGTCATCATTTTTGCAATAAAATGATTTTGGCATCAAAC